ATAAAAAAATTAAAATTTAATGCAGCTAGAGAATTCTCTTCAGTATTTCCAAATCTTTCTATAGACCACAGGAAAAGTCCCACTGGCCTGACAGAGATCAAAATTTTAAGAAATTTACAGTATTTGGCTTTTAGGTGGGAATTCAAAATTGTATAACTTTCCTGACAGATTTCCAGAGTACATACATCACACACAGATTTTTTCTGCTGTTTAACAGGATGCTATAAAACATATAAGCTCTTTGAGATCATAGCAATAACACAGTTCTGTTTCAAGGTGGACAAATTTTGCTTAAAATTTTGTAAGACATGCAGTGAAATTGAAATAAATCAGGAAGGCTGTAATAGTTGGCAAAAAGAAATGGAGCAGTGAGACAGTCACAAAGGAGCAATGAAGCAACAACTAAAGAAGAGCTACCTTTTGCACGTACAGCAAAACAAATATTCCTTTCAACCACAAAGCCATGACCAGTGGTGTGAAGGAGTTTAATCCGTGAGAAGCCAAGCCAGGCTCTCTGCTGAGTCTTCTGTGGCTCCAATAGGTTTAGGACAAGTCCCAGGTCAGTGTGAAGCGGGCAGGAGGTGGCACTGACCGTACCCCACTGATACACAAGATTTCCCAGCTGAACGCCTGGCCCTCTGTGGCCAGACTTGCTGCTGCTCAAAGCGTTGTGTGGCTGATGCACTCATGGGCAGAGTGGAAAGAGAACTGCAGATTGGCAAGATTTTACATAAAACTCTCTTAATATAAATGAAGACAAACTCTCTGCTGAATTGACTTTCTAGACCTGGTTCAAGCATAGGTGTTTTTTTCAGATACTTGCTGCAGGAAAGTCATAGATGAGGAATGAGTCCCCCCTGGTGGCTCGGACAGACAGACACATGCAAAAACCTCCTGCTCTTTCCTTGCTGCACTTTTATTGCACAGGTCAGGACTATTCCAATGCTCTAAAATGTCAGTGTAAGAAAGTTCAGTTTAAAAGGATCTGGCTGGCTAAATGGGAAAGCAGGAACAATAATACTACTGGTATCACAGCTAAAATAATCTTTTTGACCATGATTATAAAGCCTACAACATTGACTGGTGTGTTTGCTCAAATTGTCATTAAATCAAAATAACCTAAATTATTTTAAAATATTTCCAGAAAATTCCATTTTAAATGCTTGTGGTTTTTCATGCCAACATTGATGCTATTCATAGAGGTGATCTCTTGTGATGACATCTAAAGTCCCAAACTAGTGCACTGATGGTGTGAGGAGTCTGTTCTGTTCCTTTTAAGTCAGTATGGGGACCACTTTAGATTATAAAGTTCTATAATTTTACTAAATCCTCTTTCTTTACAATAATCTTTTGCTTATATATTCCTATCCAGAAGGAAGGTGAAAAAGAAAGAGAAGTGGAAAGAGGTACACAATGTTACTCCACTGAGGTTTTGTCAGTGAAATACTTTGTTTATTTCAAAATGCTTTGCAAGTGTATTCAGCAGGAACCAGGTTTCATATCCAATTAACAGTACATAAATTCAAGTCTAAAGAATTTAGAACTTCATACCTATAACTTTTAATTTTTTTACATCTGAGATGCTGAGAATAGAAGTTTATTCCAAGTTTCCTCACTGATTTATGGTTAAAATCCTAAAAATAATTCATGATATTTTTATCTTCTTTCTCAATGCATCCAAAAAGTGCTTTACTTACTGGTGACTTCTTTTCAAAATAATCACTTTGTATTTGGATTGTTGGCTGCATGTGAGTACACTGACCACTAAAGTCTAGATCTGTCAGTAAAATCTCCCTCAGTAAAGAGGAAGATAGACATGCTCATATATATAATTTATAATACACATGATCATAATATCCCATCACAGAAAAATAAATAACAGTACACCAGTATAGCAGGGGAAATACTCCATTTCAAAGTGTTAGTCAGACAGAATTAAAGATTAAGTCATAACTTTTGGCATGTAACAAAATTTCGCTTTAATGGAAAACTCTTTTAAGACGTTAACCACATTTATTAAATAAAGAGGCAATAATAATTTTCCTTGCAGGACCATTTGTGAGTTTTTGAAGTAGATTGTTTTGTACCTGGAAGCGGACATTTATTCCTTCTGATTCTGGGCTTAGGGTTGATGCTGAAGTCACTATAATATATAGAGGCTCTATATAAGGCATAAGACTGCATTCACAAAATAAAAACACACTCAACTATCGGCATGAATAGGAAACTGCAGACTCTTCTCAAATCCCCTCACCCAATCTTTGACAAGGTTTATAGTGGAAGTTGAAAGTCATGCCCAGGGATACAATAAAGAGGTAGAGGATTCATTTCCTCTACAGGCAACTGATGAAGAGCTTGAGAGTGCCATGGGAGTGCAAACCAAGAACAGGGCACTGGCACATATCCAGTGGTGAGTTGGTAGCATTTGAGCAAGAAACCAAGGAGTTTTTGAAATACAGAAAAAAGGCTGTGCATTACTCTATGTTTTGTTAAATACTGTATGAACTTTGGCTTAGTGGTTTGATTTGAATATATGACATTAAACCACTGCAGACTATTAAAATATAGCAAATACATACCAGTTGGTATGGCTTTCCTGTGCAAACAATTATGTTGGAAATAACTCCCTGCCTCTTGCCAGTAGCTTTATGGTTTATTCTTTGCAAGCCAAGTTTAGGACTAAAGCTTACAGTTGTATTCTAAAGTATTCATTAAACTATTAAAATTGTCAAAAAGAAGAGAAAGCAGAGGATGAAGGGATAAGAAAGGGATGTGTCCTACCTGAGGCTCACAGTAACCACAGCACAGCAACACTGTCCACCCTGGAATTTTAGAAAGGGAGACAGCTGGACATATTTTGTGGCTGTCTGCTCTTGTTCTCTGTTATTCCTTGCTTAAAATAGCTGCTTGCTGAGATCTGTGTAGCTCTGGGATAATCTTATTATAATGGATCCAACTCATAGCTAAGCACACTTGTCCCATTTCTCATGCGGGCTGCAGCCGGCTATGCTGTACATGAGGGAATGAAGAAATCCATGGTATGAGGCATGAAGACATTTGTGGTATGGCCACAGAACTACAGAGCAACCAAATTACAGCGGTTCACCAAGTTTCCACCCTATTAAGTTATACTGAGCAGTTGTAATAATTCACGTCTGCTCTTAATTTTTACAGCACGAAGAGCTTTCCATGAAGTTTCCATCACCTAAATTAAGCCCTCATGGTACTGTGCAAAAATTTACGGATTTTATTCATCTGTGCCAATGTGGTGACTTTGGTTTGTAATAAAGCAAGCTCCAGTCACATTAGTTACCTTTTAATTCTAGTGTGGTTAAGAGTGTGAAGTACCTCAGAGCTTTAAAGATTTCTCTTTGAACTATCAAAAAGGGATAATTTTCTCATCAAAAATTTTTACATTTGAAAGAAAAGGATGAGGGTTGTGGGATAATTTAATTTAAAAAATAACTTTAAAGAATGACAAGCAGCTTTGTACTTTATAATTAAGAACAGATAGGGACAAATGAATAATAATGTGGACAAAGCTAAAAACTCGAGAAAGCAAGAGGGTCACTAGGAAGAAAATAGCATGCAGTCAAAGACTGAAAAGAAAAATTTGCACATATCCTGACTGTTCTTCAAAGAGTAAAAAGGAAAAAAAAACAGTCATCTGTGACCTTTTGTGGAAGCTTATAAGGCTGGAAGGGGATAGGAAGAATGTGTCTAGGAAGGAGGCTTCAGTAATTTCATACAGAATCACAGAATTAACAAGGTTGGAAAAGACCTCTGAAATCAATGAGTCCAAGCTATGGCCAAACACCACTGTATCAACTAGACCAGGGCACTGAGTGCCACATCCAGTCTTTCCTTGAACACCTCCAGGGACAGTGACTCCAGCACTTCCCTGGGCAGCCTGTTCCAACATCTAATCACCCCTTCTTCTTCCACCTTTCTGGAAGAAATTCCACCTGATGTCCAACCTGAACCTCCCCTGGCACAGCTTGAGGCCATTTCCTCTCATCTTGTCACTGGCTGCCTGGGAGATCAGTGACCCCCATCTGGCTACAACCTCCTCTCAGATAAGGTTCCCCTGAGCTTCCTTTTCTCCAGCCTAAACAATCCCAGCTCCTTCAGCTGCTCCTCACAGGACTCACCTTCTAGACCCTTCACCATCTTCATTGCTCTTCTCTGGACATGCTCCAGCACCTCAGCGTCCTCCCAGAATCAAAGGGGCCCAGACTGAACACAGTACATGAGGTGTGGCCTCACCAGTGCCAAGTAAAGGGGGGCAATCACTGCCCTAGTTCTGCTGGCCACACTATTGCTGTTACACTGATAATTCCTGCTTTTCATACCAGATTGGGTGAAACTGGGACCAGGGTAAGACGTGCCCAGCTGCTATGGACAAGTGATCGGTTGGTCCTGAAAAGGCTGCTGGATCTGTCAGCCTTCACTGTAGGTGTTGCCCTGCAAATAAGACAGTTTGTAAATCACTTATTTCAGAAAACTGGTCTCCTATACCAGTATTTCCTTCAGAATCTCCACATGTACAAGCACATTCTCTAGATCTCATAAATCGTTTCTTCCATGTCATGTACAAGTTACCTACACCCACAGAAATGTCAACACTTCCAGGGAGGAAAATGTTAGCAGGTAGTAATACTTTCTTAGTACTGGTTTTCACCAAGTGTATGAAACTGAAGAAAAATACACTAGAAGAAAATAGTAGTTCATGTAATTAATAGGGTGGTTAAACAGACATGGGGCTAACAGACTTTGGGAATTACCTGGTTGTAATTTGTTTATTGAAACACTCGCACCACAGTTGATTCTCTTGCAGGATTTCTTAGTAGCAAGAGGGCGTGTCCTGATTTACACATATTTTCTATGGTAGAAGGACACCAAGTATTTTAGAGCTTCCCACCTGGAAATGCACACAATGAGTTGCAAAAATAAAGACAGACTGCTCAGAAACCAGAGCAAAGAAGAAACACATCTTGAAGTCTTTTTGGATTACAATTCCCTTCCTTTATTTTGATTCTAATGTGAATAACTGCTCTCAACAATTCCAGGGATCCAAACCAGTCACACATGTGAAAGTGTACTCAAATCCTGGTTCATTTTTGGGCCCCTCACCACGCAAAGGACATTGAGGTGTTGAGTATGTCCAGAGAAGGGCAGTGAAGCTGCTGAAGGGTCTGGAGCACATGTCTTAGGTGGAACAGCTCGGGGAACCGGGGTTGTTCAGTCTGGAGAAAAGGAGGCTCAGGGGTGATCTTATCATTCTCTACAACGTGAAAGCAGGTTGCAGCAAGGTGGGGATCTGTCTCTTCTGCCCAGTAATAAGCAATAGGACAAGAAGAAACAGCGTCAAGTTGCACCAGGGCATGTTTAGCCTGGATATTAGGAAAGACTTCTTCATTGCAAGGGCTGTCAAGCATTGGCACAGGCTCCCTGGTGAAGTGCCAGTCCTCATGCCAGAAGGTATTTAAAAGATACATAAATGTGGCACTTAAGGACATGGTTTAGTGGTGGACTTGGCTGTGCTGGGTTAATGGTTGGAGCCAATGATCTTGGAGGTCTTTTTCAACCAAAATGGTCCTACAATTCCAAGTACAAAATTTAAGTGTAGCAGCTAACAAAGCAGAAGCAGGTGGAATAGAGTCTCTTCAGTAAGTCTGGTCTTCGCTTTTCCTAATATAAAAGCACTATCCCATTATTTTCAAGTTGCACACTGGAAGTATTCAATATTTTTTCTAAAATTACATCCCAAGCAGAATTATCACCTACCTTCTGGTAGAATTCTTTATTCTTTATTATTATTTTTAATCATCTGTGTGTCAGAAAGCCACCTACCAGCTTCACTTGCTTTTCACTACTAGAAGAAATAATATTTATCTTCCATAGATATAAGACATAGATAGCCACTGGCATGGAGATATCTTACTCTTGCTGCTTAATTCTGAATTGTTCAAATCTCAAATTTAGAAATGAAAACTATTTGCAGTCAGAAGAAAAAGATGAGGATTTTGATATTGCCTATGGAGTACATAAATAATTCGCAGGCGTTTCCTTTACCTTCTCCAGCAAACTCTATTTCCTGTTCTCCCCAAATTTGTCACAGGAAGATCAAGCCAATTCCATTTTCAATGCAAGCACCAAAAGGAGTGAATGTGTCAGGCATGGGAAGATTACTTATAACTAGGTGCAAAACATAATTTCAATGAGGACAAGCAGCACAACCAGGTGACCAGAACTGCTTGTTCAATATAATTTGAACCTCAAATGTTCAGTATAATTTTATGAAAAATTTCCTACCCATGGAATGACACTGGCTTATTGAGACTCTATCAGGCTTTTAAAATTACAGTTGTGCCAATACAAAAAAACTGCCTCAAAAATATTGGGATGGGACAATTTGCTTTTTAATTACTAACCATAAGTACATTGAGGACAGTCAGAACAAGAACATTCAAAATGCTGGTTTAGTATCATCTGTGGTGTCATCCTACAAGAAGAAATTGAAATAATAGTATTGGAAGACATTTTGACTTTTAAATACAGCTTTTTAGCTACAATCTAGGAAACAGCTTGAAAGTTAGCTACATTTTTTTTATTTGCAGGATCAGGATGACTAGCAGCAAGCATCAGATTTTCTTATTACAAAGGGTACTGCTAACACAAAAGGATTAATTTTAATTTTGCTTTTTTTTTCAATTCAGTAATTTTTATGTCTCAAATTATTTAGGCACTTCATTCTTCAAAAACAAGTATCTGTCAGTTTATGTGCCTTGGGCTAAAAAATTTAAATCCAACCTCTACACACTTGAGGCAGTTTAGTACCACAAAAAGACTGGATCCCCTTTTTAGTCGAGTGAAAGGTGGCTTTCTTCACAGTGCTTAAATTCAAGAGGTATGTTCTTTAAAGGCATAATTGCTTCCCCACCTTACATAAAAATTGACAGAATGCATTTTAGCCATTAGCTGCTAGAATTTTCTTTGTTGATTCAAATACAGCATTTCTTGTCAATGGGATGCTCACAGAGCAAACTTTATGCCATGGTGCTTTCCCATGCCCAAGAAGAAAGGATTCTTGGTCTCCACCTTTGGGGACAGGGTTGCTTGGAATGGGACTTTAGTTTAAGAAACCTGAGAGTAGCTTTAACTGGCCAGAACTTCCTGCTCTATATATATATACAGCCATTCTCCCCATATTCTTCTCTCCTCTGGGAGGAGGTTGTAGCAGGAACTCACAATAATACCTGTCTGCTTTCCAGAGACTGCTCCTGGCTACTGATGGTCTCACAAAAGGAAGGGGGAAAGCCACGTTCACTCCCTTTATACCATCACCAGCAGTGACAAAATCCCAGTATTTTTAGATTAAGTACAATTAATATTTAAGGCTTAACATCTTAACTACATACTTGACAGGTAATGAGTGTTGATGACTTGTCTATCATGACTGGCTTATTTTGACATGGAGATGGTGAGACTGCCATACAGCTCATGTGTTTTACAGTTCTTTGGAGAACTAACAACAAAAATCAAACCAAGAATAATCAAGCAAAAGACAGGACTAAGCATCTCCTCTTTTTACTGCATTTTATGTCATTAATACTAAAGAATCCTCACACTGCTTGTAATATTTTTTAAAAAGTGTCTCTTTTTATACATTCCAAAACGCATATGGAAAACGCCAGCTATGTGATACTTAGCAAGTGTAATAGATTTTTACATTCTTTCACATATATAGTACTGCATTATGGACAATGATACTGATATTATCTTCAAATTATTTCCTTTCATCAGCTTCCTTTACCTCCTCTAAATCCTCAAATTTAAAAAATGAGGATTTGTCATAGCCCATGAGATGGTTATAATCCTGAGGATTTGGGAAAAGCGTAGGATTAACAAGCATTGATTTTGTTTTAGCATAAAATGTTGTAAACATCTTGGTGATATCTGGAATCTTTACATCTTTCTGATGGAAAACAGTCACTTTTTCTGCCAAGATGGCATTGTAGGTAATGGCTGTGTAGGTGTCCACTTCATCTTTATAATAGAGCCGGATCACATAACCTTTTGTAAGGATATGCAAAGTAACCGGAGTTACAAATGTAAAAATCCCAATCAACCCATAAAAGGCAGCTTGGACAAGCAGACTTTCCACTCCAATACCACTTTTCAGCATGATGTAGGGCATCATGAACAGGTTGAATATGCTGGTGGAGTAAGAGAAAAACTTCACACCTGCATAAAAGAAATCAAAGAAAATGAAAGTTAACACTTATCAGCAAAACCTTCTCTACAATTATATATATTTTGCTACCACATAACAATGCCATTACTCGAAATGATGAACTTACTGAAAACCCCTTTCCTTTTTTTTTAAGCTCATGGACAAACCGTTGAAAACCCAACCCTGTCTTGTTGCCACTGTTCTGATTTGTTTCTACCTTCATGCTGGGTTTATCAAAGCTGACTCTATTTCTCTGATGCAGTCAGCTATTAGCTGTCATGCACACATATGAGGTTTTTACTTCACAGGCACAAAAACTGATATCTAATGAGACCTGACTCCATTCATGGACACGTAATGGTGCTCATTGAAGAGATGGCAGACAGGGAATTTCTCTCTTCATCAACAACTAATCGACATTCAGCGTGTAACTAAATATTAACAAGTACTCCCCACCCATTCTGCATGTGGCTTGAAAGACAGTAGCCAGTGCTGTGGACCACCCACAGTGCTTAAGTCACCGAGAAAACCAGGACCCCAAGATGCTGTGACAAACAAATATGTTAGGACACATTTCAAAAATGTGTATCAGAAAACATCCAATTACTTTACTTTTCACTAGCTCTTTGTGACATTAACCGGCCAAAGAAAGATTTGCAAAGTCTCATTACAGATGGAGCATTTGATCATAGTACCTGCCTGCCTGGGAAGCATTTCAGGAACGCTTCCAAGCACACAGAACGCAAACACCAGTTATAGCTCATCTTTGTTGCTCACTGGGTTGGATAAGATATCCCAAGCATTGCAAGGGAAGGCTGAGGGGTTACAGAGATTACCAGAGCACCCTGCACACCCAAGCAGAAAAATAGAAACCAGGCACCACCACTACCACCTTTGTTTGTTTGTTTAGATGTACGTATGATCCAGACTTTGGCAAACTTGGAAAGGAGAACACTCACTTTTAATGTTCCATTTTAAAGTTACTAAATACCGTTAAAACTACAACAAAAAAAGGCAATATAAACCACTTTAAGTCACATACCCAACACTGCCTTTGCCAAATTTCCTTTATAAACTAATCTTCCATGTTCTGGGTGATCATGAGGGGAGGATGTACTGAGGCTGCGAATAGCCACACCTTGAAAAGATGTAACCTGAAAGATAAAACCAGTACAGGGCTAAGGAACATCAGTACTATGCCTTACATCCACCTATCTATCCATATCCACACTTACATATGTGTATATACTCACACAAAGCTTCTCCTTGCCCTGAACCCATCCCCAGCACTTCAAACTAGGGATTAAAGCTAGGTTACACTCCAAAGCATGCCAAAAACTGCAACTAATATGCTGCCTGTTTTAGTAACTTCCCATGTAAATATCCCAAATTAGCATTAAATATTTGCAACCCCATTACTGATAATTGAGACAGCAATCAATTTACACACAGCTTTGCAGGTAACCATGATCATCACAGCTATGTTTAATCACAGAATAACAGAATGGCCTGGGTTGTACTGGGCCTTAAACATCATCCAGTTCCAACAGCCCTGCTGCAGAGAGGAACACCTTCCACTCCACCAGTTTTCTCTGAGCTACACCCAGGCCAGCCTTAAACACCTTGAGGGTTGGGGCATCCACAGCTTTTCTGGGCAACCTATTCCAGTGCCTCACCACCCTCACGGAAAAAAAAATTTTTTTCCTAATATCTTAGATTAGCTAAATAGCTTCCTTTACATCAGTTATACCTACTCTCAGTTATAATCCATTCCCCATTTTCTGGCACTTCAGGCCCTTGTAAAAAGTCTATTTTCCCTACACGACTTTCTTGTAGGCTCCCTTCAGGTACTAGAAAGCCACAATTAGGTCATCCCGAAGCCTTCTCTCCTCCAGGCTGAACAAACGCAGTTCTCCCAATTTTTCATTGTAGAAGAGGTGCTACATGCCTCCAGTCATTTTGGTGGACTCCTCTGGACTCGCTCCAGCAGGTCGATGGGGCCCCAGAGCTGGGCAAAGCACTCCAGGTGGGGTCTCACCTGAGCCTAACAGAGGCGGTGCGCCCTGAGGAGCACCTCGCTTTCCTCCTCAAAATCCCCTACGGGCAAAACCGCGAATCCCAAGGCCGCCGCCCTTTCCCCGGGGAGGGGGAACACTCCCCCGTTCCCACACACAGTCCCCACAGCCCCCACACAGAACCTGTCGGGGCCTCGCGGCGGCAGCGGCCAGAGCGGCCC